TTGGTGATTTTTATTCCCATTTTTGGTATTAGTTGCCTAGTTGGTCTTAATGTATGAGCCCTTCACCAATAATTGCAAATCGAAACCAACCAATGAGCAAATATTTCCACTCATTATTATTAATTTAATTAATTATTAAAAAAAGAGAATTTATTTTTTAGAGAACATGAGTCTACACTTTTATTCTTTATTTTTGAGAAATATCATTTTATTAGTGTAATTATTTGATTAAAAAATTATGAATTAAGTATAAAAGATAAAAATTTTAACTTATATACTTAAAAGATATTTATTAAAATTATCTATTATAACGTTTGGTAAGGAGATTCATACTATAATTTGAATCATGGTTCATGATTCGCTACAGTATTTTTTCTCATAAAAAATACACATAAATTAAAAATAATTCTAATCTCATGATTTTAATTCATAAATCAAACTTAAGTGTATTATGAAGAGCCCACTAGCGGGGTCTTTTTTTCTAAGGAAAAAAAAAAGAAAGAAAAAAGAGAAGAGCCCCCCATTTACAAGTACTCAAAGAATTATTTTTCTTTCACTAACATCAAATGCAAAGACACGGTTAGATATAGATATTTCTAAAATATCTTCGCAGAGATACATAAAATAAATAAATAAATAAAAAGAGAGAAAAAGTAAAAAAAGCAAAGATTTTTATGATCAGCAGCGCCAGCGCGTCGCATTTGTGATATTACACCGTCAGTAACACCCTTATCAGATCTTCTATTTATTGTCGTCCTCTCCTCTCTCTGTTAAATACCAACCGAGCTTTTTTCTGAAGAAAAAAAAGAAGAAAATCACTGGAACACCCTTATCAGATCTTCTATTTATTGTCGTCCTCTCCTCTCTCTGTTTAATACCAACCGAGCTTTTTTCTGAAGAAAAAAAGAAGAAAATCACTGTACTCACTGTAGTACAACTACTTTACGGTTGCTGGCAATGTCTTCCGACACGACGACTCGCCGCGGCGGCAACTCTTTCGACCACCTCGACACGCCGACGCTCGACGCCGAATCGGCCGGTCTCCTCCACGCAATCTCCGAGCACGGTGGCTACGCCTTCGTCGGAATGGCGGCGCAGGCTGCGGCCGGCGACTTCCGCGCGGCGGAGGCGGCGCGAGAGATGGCGTGGGAGCAGCTGCACTCCGGGCCGTGGCACTCCGTCCTGCCGGTGTGGCGCAACGCCTATTCGATGGCGTGCCTCCGCATGGCGGATCTCCATTTCGCCGGCGGCGAGTTCAAGGAGGCGCTTAGGGTTTTGGACATGGGACTCATTATGGGAGGGATGCTCCTAAGGAAGGATTTGGACGCCGCCGTTGAGAAGGTCTCTACCAGGGCCAGGGGCGATTCTAGGGTTTCTGGAAGTGGCTGCAATGGCGGTTCTTCCAAATCGGAGAGTCGATTGGTTGACGGAGAGCTCGACAAGGCAGAGGTGAGGTTCGTCTTTATTTTTGTTTTAATTTTCTTCAAAAATGGCTTTATCTACTTCAAAGGGAATATTCTGGAAAAGGAAAGGTTTTCAGCCCCCAAATTAAAAGTACCAACTCGCTTCATCAAATTGTGTAGTTTGTACATTATATTCCTTTTTTCCTTTCCCTTTTCACAGTTTATTCTTCTTTTTGATAATTCCCAGCACCAATTAATTGTACTAGCTAGTTTTACCCATTTCTTTTCCCTTTATTATTGAAGGAATACTTGTTTCGGATTATACCATTCAAGATTGGGTTTTGCAGTTCATATTTACTTAATGGGTTGATATTATCCTGTAGATGCTCAGAGTTTTGCCTCAAAAGTCCCTGTCTTGTAAGATAGTAGTGAAGAGGTCTGCTCTATCTCTGGAGGGATTTCTGCGTGAATATTTCTTGTCTGGATTACCAGTTCTAATAAGTGATTCTATGGCTCATTGGCCTGCAAGGACAAAGTGGAATGATCTGGATTACCTAAAAACCGTTGCCGGGGACCGTACTGTGCCGGTTGAGGTGATACTCTTCTTGATGTTGCAATAAGCACTAGAAGTATCAAGCAAAGCTTGATTAGTTTTGTTTTTAAATAACTGAAAATTGGTAAAGCTTAAATGCTTTGTAGGTTGGGAAAAACTATTTGTGCCCTGAGTGGAAACAAGAGCTTATCACGTTCTCCCAGTTTCTTGAGAGGATTCAGGCTACCGGCTCTTCCTCGGTCGTTCCAACAACATACCTTGCTCAGCACCCATTGTTTGATCAGGTTCGCTTAGCCCTTTACAGTGTCATGATATCAATAAATTGTTTAATGTATAATTTAAGTGACAATGTTGTTCACCATTGTATTTGAATTGCAGATTAACGAGCTACGAAATGACATATGTATTCCTGACTACTGTTTTGCTGGTGGGGGAGAGCTAAGGTCTCTCAATGCTTGGTTTGGTCCAGCGGGGACTGTGACACCATTACACCACGATCCACATCATAATATACTTGCTCAGGTATCACCTTTTGCATACGTTTTATTGCTCTGAATTATTTCATAATCTTATGAATATCGTTCTGTGGATTTTGATTACCTATTGCAAAATAGCAAAATTATTTGGTTTCGAGTTGTATTGTTCACTTTAATTGGAAGATGACTCGTTTGTGTTCAAGGTTTGGTCTGTCACAATTTAAACAATCATTGTTTTGTCTTCAATTTCATTTGCCCCTCATTTCCAGGTGGTTGGAAAGAAGTATGTGAGGCTTTACCCTGCTTCTTTGTCAGAGGAACTTTACCCATACAGTGAAACCATGCTTTGCAATTCAAGCCAGGTAATTGTTTCTTGCCTCCACACCATAACGGCTATTTCAACGAATTTGCTTATTCTTGGACCGCAACTGTGTTGTGAACTCTATATGAATGAATCTGAGTAAAATGTATTAAAAAAATGTTATGATTGTATATAGATGTCTCTTAGTGTTGGTGCCCTCCCTCCCCCTCTTCCTAGTCCAGTACAATTTGTAACGTTAGATTACTAATTTACTATTAGAGAAACATGAGAAAGGAGGACAAGAAATATTTGTTTTTCTTAGAACTGTTTCTCAAGGCAACTTCCAAACAGGTTCTATCTTTGTGGGCGATTGCTCTAGTTCCTTTTGTGATGATAAAAGGAGGTGAATGCTATCATTTGATTTGGTAGTCTGCTAAACAGAACAGCTGAGTAACCTGCGTTTTACTTTATATTTTGGTAAAGAAAAGTTCAAACAACCGACCTCGTAGATTCCTCTGGGGTCACAAGTGTCCTTACTCCTTCCTATTAGTTCTTTTAGTTAACTAATCAGTGCATTCGTATGAACTCTCCTTCATACGTTCCTTCTACACCTTAGATATGAGTTTTCCTGTTCAAATTTGAACTGAAAGATCCATGTTTAATGTCGATGAAATTTGATTTTGTTTGAAGGTTGATCTTGACAACATAGACAAGGAAGTATATCCGAAAGTGTGTGACTTAGAATTCATGGACTGCATTTTAGAGGAGGGCGAAATGCTTTACATCCCGCCAAAGTGGTGGCACTATGTTCAATCTCTAACAACAAGTTTATCGGTTAGCTTTTGGTGGAGTGACTCTGGAAATTCAACTGTCTCCTGATGTCACATTTTATCAATGCCCTCTGCTTTTACATTTTTTTCGTAATAGGCTGGGCATAATCCTTAGAACTTTAGCTGATATGTGTGATAGGCGAACCAGGTCGCTATTCTATTGGAAAAGTAATATATTCTTGTGCATATACCCATTGGATTCAGTAAAATCAATGAGGAGACTTACGGGAAATATCATTAAATAGAATTCTCTGAACGTTTTAAAGCGTAATATTCTTGCTACATCTTGTAGAAGACTTGTTTGCCATCGTCATTTGACATTTATGTCTTTTGTTTTAGGCTTTTATTTATCAACGAATCAGTTTTATTGATCTTGATCACAAATTTGGTATGGTGTTTTTGGTGCTCTTTCCCCGGCCTACTCTATGCATATTGTATTTCCGTCAAAGTTATTAATCCAATGATCCACCCTATCTCAATTATTGTGGTTACCTCGTGATTTTTCGTCCCAAGGGGAAGGAACCTTACATTTGGGTTTCATATGGTCTAAAGATCAAACTTGAGGAAATCTAATTTCACTATAGCATCGTTGATCCTTCTAAGAATTCCATTCAAACACGATTTTTATTATTCAGATCCAAAAGAGAATTTTTTTTTCTATTTCTTTTTAAGGTACTTTTAGATCACTAGATCTTACCATTTTCTCTGGGAAAATCCTTCTGAATCTACTTTCTTAAGATTGGAGCCTTTCTAGTTTCTTTGATGCGGCAAAGGATCATGCCTCTACTGTATCACAGACATTACTGAATTCCCCACCAACCCAATCTATTTCACTCTCTAAAACCTTCTTATTTTATTTTTTATGGATCTACTTTGGAAGGATCAAAATTGGATTTTGAATTCCCCACCAACCCAATCTATTTAATTCTCATTTCAAATTAAAAAAAAAATCTGTCATTTGTGTATCGAAACAATTACAAATCTTTGACCACTAAACCTCTCACCCTTCTTCTGCCAATCATGGCCTAAGAAAAAAATTTAACGGCTGAGAAAATGAAGGCGTTTTCAGACCCAAAAAATGAAAAAATAACAAAAACGTGTTGCCGCCCGCAACAGAGAAAATTCCTGTGTCGACTAGGTCAAATAAAGTGACTGAAAGCAGAGACTGGCTACCTAAACGGAGCTCAGTTACTAAAAAAGTCTGCAACTCTGTCGCATGACAATGTTTTCGACCAGCCACTCGTGCCGTCACGGGTGCTTGGACGTTGGAACTATGCTTGGGGTATGCGGAGATTTAATGTTTATTTTACTGATTTAAATTTAAATTTTATTATAATAAAAAACTTTTAAAATCAATCACATTAAGTTTTTTTATTATAATAAAAAAAATTTATATAAATTCACATTTTAATTTAAATTAACGTATTAAACAGATTTTTAAAAATCATTATGGAAAAACGAGGACGAGGTAACAAAAATGGGACACTTTAATCACTAATTATTGCAATCCTTGCCTGAATAATACATTATACATGTAGGTGCCACGGTCAGGCCACCAGCTACAATGATTAATGTACAGATCTTAATCAAGGCAAACTGACAAACAAAAACGAAAACAAAATCAAAAAGAAAAACAACCCCAGGCAACTTTCATTTAATCGGAACCTCAAAATTCAAATATTCATTATTCATATCATTCCCTTACTAATTTGACTTTGTCATGTTCATTGCAGCACTGAAAAAATCATCCAATGCTTTAGGAGAAGACCCTTTATAAAAACAACCATCCCGATCATCATCATGATCCTTAACAGCATTCTCAATCATCTCCCTCAACTCACAAGCTTTCCTTCTCATTTCACTCCCTTTCTCAGTACTCATCACCAACTCAATTTTGGCCACCAAGTCTTGATGCCTAACCTCACAATTCTTCCCTCTAGCCACCTCCACACAAACCCCAACCTCTCTCTCCAACAGCACGGCGTTGAAGAACTGCTCCGCCGCCATCGGCCACGCCAGCATCGGCACGCCGTTGCTGAGGGCCTCGAGCGCGGAGTTCCACCCGCAATGACTCAGAAAAGCAGACGTTGCCTTGTGAGACAAAATCTCCACTTGGGGAGCCCAGTTCCTCACCAACAACCCTCTTCCCTGAATCCTCTCTTCAAACCCTTCTGGAAGCCATTCCTCCGCTTTGAACTCCGAGTTTATGTCGAAGCCCATCGGCGGCCTAACCACCCAGATGAAGTTCTTCTTACTTTTATCCAAAGCCGTCGCTAACTCAATCATCTGTGTTGGTGAAATTGTGTTCATCGAACCAAACGACACGTACAGAACAGAGTTTAAAGGCTTTGCATTCAGCCATTCCCAGCAGATTTCTGATGTTACACCTTTTTGTTTCCCTACAGAAGCACGGGCTGCAGAAGA